TGTATATTATTTTTTTAGTGTTAGTCTGTTTTTTTAGTGTTAGTGTATGTCTAATGTCTGACTGCAAAGCATGAGTTCTATTCCCACCCATGACGAAGTATTGTTTGAAGAGCATGATCATCAATTCTGAATCTGTTGTATGTGTGTAATTTGAAATATATAAGTATGTTGATCTGCAATTTGGTTACCGTAGTACAGGCTTTGCCTAGTTTGTGATCAGACGACCGTGTGTCAGGTGTGTCAAGTTATTATTATTACAAAATAGATTATGGTGAAGGATAATGCATGAAACAAGCTAATTATCGAAAAAGAACCGACTGTGTGTACACTTAAAATTTACAAAACGGTGATTTTCATTTTATAGTTTTATAATTTGCATATACTGGGTATATGTCAGTCTCACAATTTAGACGAATCTACGAATCTGACGACATACCAAGCCAATATTTATCAAGCAGTTTAGGCTACTTAGCTTGCTAAAGAAATAAACATAGACGTGGGAGAGCCAAGCTTCTGCAAGAATGGGCTCGACCAGAGTGATACCACGGCCTCACAGAACACCGGTGTTAAGCAATTTTTTCGTTGCCTTTTACTGAGTGAGTGAGGTTACCGGAGCCCAAATCCCCCCTCCCGCTGACTCGAGCGGAAGAGACTCGCAAGGGCAGCAACGCACTTGTGACTTTTCAAGTTGCGGGTGTCCATGGGCGGCGGTAGTTGCTTACCATCAGGTGACCCGTCTGCTCGTTCACTTCGCCCCTTATACCATAAAAAAATGTGTAACATATATACACTCGAAAAACAACCTCCTTTTGGTAAAAATTACATGTAAATTTCACCTGAAACTAAGCCTGGGGGAGTTTATTAAATGCAGAGTGACTTTGAAATCAAAACGTTAACAGGTAATTATCACTAAAAATGTCAACGTTGACGTTAAATAAAAACCCTCATATTTATTCGTCACGTGTCGTATTTTATTGTTTTATAAGCAGGGCTAAGAGATGATGAGGCCATCTGTCACCCTAGCAGAAGCAGGGCGGCGTGGTGGCGAGACGCGCTTCGAAGCGCGCGCGCCCTTTCGGGAGCACATAGGGGTTCCCACACAGGAGGGGGTCATTTACACGCCGTAGATGGCCCGAGTTACGTCGGGGTATCAGGGTTTTCCTTCCTAGGGTACACCTGGTTCCCCGGCAACTGGTACCCGAGACGGTTTTTGGTCGGTTCGAGTCCGACATAACCACCGCCAAAGGGCTAAGAGATGAAAAATATTAACCGCCACTCATGAACACTTGCAGCTCTAGAAGCACTAGTGAGTTTTCTTCCATTGAATCCTCTCCCCAGAATCTTTATCTTAGCTTAAAAAGACAACTCCCGCACTAGGAATATATCCTGTGTCGCGGGGGACTTTACAAACATACATGAAACGGATACAAAGAACAGCCAGACTCAGAACGAATATTTGTGGATCACACAAAGTGTAGTCCGATGTGGGGATCGAACCCCCTACACTAGGGAGTGGAGGGGTTTGGGCTTGGTAACCTCTCTGAATAGCAACGATAGATTTTTTGTCGGTTGTGTCACTTGTAAGGATTCATCACTTTGACAGTTACAAATTGAATTAGGGTATGTTTAGTATCCGGTAAGAATTTTGACACCTTAATTATATAGATGTAGGATTATGGCGAAAACAAATGGACTTGAGAAAACTCGGATAGCCTGTTAGTTACGGGTCGGCCTTGACCTTCTCGAGTTGTTGCTTACATTCTAGTTTTCCTGTTTAATATACTCCAAATCTTCATCCTCCTCCTCTTTCTAAAATGAGGGTATTTTTTATGCTTTTGCTTAGTTTTTGCCTTTGCCCTTCGAAGTGTAATTATGACCTAAATATAAAAATCTCACACTTGGCCGTCTTTTATTCAACGGCCAATAGAAATGTGCAAAGCAAAACGTGTACAGACATATATTACAGATAAATTATACCCAGACACAGAAACATAATTTTTTTATATGGAAAAGAGAGCAAACGAGCACACGGGTCACCTGGTAGAAAGAGACTACCGCCGCCCATGAACGCCTGCAACTCAGGAGTGACAAGCGTGTTGCAAGCCTTAAATAATCGCACAATTATTTGTTCTGGGTGGTACTCGAATCCACAGCCTCTTTCTTAGAAGTCAGGGTCACTAACCACTTAACCAACAGACCAGTCGTGTATGTCAGTATGTACTACATGGATGACTAATGATAAAAAGCCTTCGAGCCTTAGCCCAAACTAGGTTGGGACCAGCTTTCAGTCAACTGTGACTGTGAGCAGTGAGGGCCCGGCGCTGCGCCGCCCATGCGGGGCAGACCGCCAGCGTGTGCTGGGCCGAGTCCTCACTGCAGTCGCAGTGGTGGCAGGCGGGACTCAGTTCCCTCCTAGCGACCGAGTGCAGGTACTTTCCGAAGCAACCGTGCCCGGAAAGCACCTGCGTCAGCCGGAAGGAAAGGGTCCCGTGCTGCCGCCCTGCCCACTCGGCGATGAACGGCTGGAGAGCCTCCACGGCGGCGAAGCCAGCGCGTGGAGTCTCCAGCCGGAACGACCAACGAGCCATCGTGGCTCGGCGAGCGGCTTCGCGCCACTCGCGCACATCCTCGGGCGGAGGGCGAAATCAGCCACTCGCCGATAAACTTCGGCGAGCACTTCCGCCTCCAAATCCCACGGGGGAGTTCCGGCCAACGCGCATGCCACCTCCGTCGAAACGGTGCGGTAACCGCGTATGGCTCTGACCGCCATTACCCTCTGAGGGCGCCAGAGGCGTACCCTATTCTGGGCGGTCAGAGCCGCCGCCCACACCGGTGCACCGTACAGTGCCATTGACCGGACAACCCCCGTGTACAGCCGTCTTGTCGCGACGCTGGGTCCACCCATATTGGGCAAAAGTCGCCCTAGGGCAGACGCAGCGCCGACCAGCTTTGGAGCAAGCTGTCGGAAGTGCTCGTCGAAGAGCCACCTCCCGTCGAGGATCAGGCCCAGATATTTCATCTGGGCCCGAACCGGTACGAGGACCGAGTTGACCACGATTGAGGCGCCAGGGGGTGGACCACGACGGGGCCCATGAAATAACAGGGCCTCCGTCTTATCTAGGGCCACCCGTAAGCCCAGCGCCTCAATGCGCCCGACCACCAGGGAGACTCCCCCTGTGGCCAGGCGCGCCGCCTCTTGGAAGTTTGCCCCCCAGGCTGTCACCAGGGTATCGTCTGCGTAACAGATTACACCCAGCCCGGGGGGGAAATCGGCGCGAAGGGCCCAGTCGTACCCTATGTTCCACAAGAGGGGTCCAAGAACAGACCCCTGTGGAACACCGCACGACATGGGCCGACACCTCAGATTACCTTCTCGGTCCTCGTACACGACGGTACGCTCCTCTAAATAGTCTGCCACCAGCCGCCTCAGGTACTTTGGCACCCCATGATAGTGGAGTGCTTCCCTGATGCAGCTGAATGGCAGACTATTGAATGCGTTGGCGATGTCTAATGACACCGCCAACAGCACGCCGCCACAGGTCACGGCCTCTTCGGTCACGGCCCTCAGGCGCAACACGGCGTCGACTGTCGAACGCCCCGCCCGAAAACCAAATTGGGCGTCCGACAGATCGGGGCCCACCTCGCAGAGGTGCCGGACGATGCGGGCAGAAAGAACCCACTCAAACAATTTGCCCGCCTCGTCCAGCAGCACACACCCTATTCCAACCCGTCTGGCCAGCGTGGTATAGTAGGCCATAACTTCCTTTCTAAGGAGAGGCCATAGGCCTCTCCTTAGAAAGCAGTGTAATATTAAAGGCTGTTGATGTGATGTGAAATACATACATATTATAGATAAATTACACCCAGAAACAGAACAAAATGACCGTGCTCATCACACAATATTTGTCCTGGGTGGGAATCGAACCCACGACCCTCCGGCTTAGCAGTCAGAGTCACTAACCACTAGACCAACAGGCTCGTCACGCTTCAATTTTGACGTGATTGAGAATCAGATCATTTTTGTTCAACACAATAGGCTATTTGACTAAGTTTAGAAAATGTTTTAGATTCTTTCTATACATGATATTGTACATAGTACATTAATATTTCTGAGAAATTAGATCTATTTACATTTAAAAATCGCTATTGAAGTTTAAATTTTAAAACCGCGGCAAAAACGTGCCCTGACGTCACACGCTAGCAACCTACTGAAGGGCAAGAGGGGGGAGACAAGACGCCAAGATCATGACGTAACGCAATTGACATATGTTATGATATGTGATATGTGTTATAAACAAAACAGTACTGACGTGGTTATGTTATAAAGTGAGTTTCATTATTTTTGTTAAGATATATTAGATAAAATGGCGTATAAATGGTGTGTAGTGTCAACATGTAAGAATACATCTAAAAGTACTCCACACAAACTGTTTGTTTCTGTGCCAACGGATCCCAAAAGACGAAAACTGTGGTTACAATTAGCTGGAAGAGACCCAAACAGTATCGCATCACTTTCAAATGTTTTCATGTGTGAAGATCACCTTGACGTAAGTACTTATTTATTATTCAGTTGAAAATATTGTTGTTTACATAAGGATATACAAATATCTTACCTTAAACCCCGTTTGTGTCGTAAGAGCCGATGGCGGGAGCAAACTACGCAGGACAACAGCACTACAAAGAGAAGGAAAACTGGACACAAATCCTATGATACCAACCCGCCTGGCCAGCGTGGTATAGTAGGCCGGAACCTCCTTATTAACTAGGTACTCTTTAGGTACTTAACCTCTCTTAGTATGACCAAAACTTACAGCATAAGTTGAAATACTCCTTCTCAATCTGCTACATACCGCAACACTCGCTTTTGTAGGATATCAAATGTTTTCTATTATGTGAATTGTTCATCTTCCTGTTCTCTTTTGTAATTTAAAATATATTATCCCTTATTTCCAAACCGAATAAAAGATACTTGTTATAACAACAATAATGTTGAATTGCAGATGGAAAATGATACAATCAATTACATGAAATTTAAAATGGGCTTTAGTCAAAGGATACTTTTGGCAGATAAGGCAGTGCCCTCTAAACTTAAATGTCAAGTGGAACGCAAAAGAAGGCTATCTGCTGCAGGACCTTCTCCAGAAGCATCAGCTAAGAGGCAAAGAATTGATCTTGTCACAGACTGTCTAAGTGCTACTGGAATGAACACTGAAAGCTCACAAAATGAAAGAAATTTGGACACTATTGAGACTGATGGTTGGTACTATGTTCTGTGTTATTCTGTTTTTTATTTCATTCAAATGAAGTAGGTAATTAACTTTGAATATTTATCTTTTCAGCATCAACAAAGTCTCAAACAACCAAAGACAAAGGAACAAACACTGAACCTATCTTAAATGTTGAAAAAGCTGTTCAAGTTACTACAAAACAGAAAGTATATTATCGGAGCAAAGCTGTGCAAACAAAATGTTCGAGTAAAAATATTTCTACTTCACCACTAAAAGTGTCAACTACATCTCGTTTCACTTCGCCATTTAAGATCGAACCATGTTATCTTCAACCTTCACAGTCAGGAGCAATTAAAGCAATAAAGAGAAATATAGTCTCGCAGGAAGAAAAATCTAGTAGTGATATTTCTTGTATTGAAAGTGATAATAATTCACCTTTTGTGGCTACATCATCACCAAAAATTACTGACTCTGATACAGATAATATTGAAAATATTGAAAAATTGCAGTACCTTAAACATAATATGCACTTAATCAAAAGAAAACCCTTAATGTATGTTGGTATAACTAAAGAATGTTATTTTATAGTTCAGATGATGCATGAAGTGACCAACATAAAAATAGAACACATTTTGCTATGCTTAAAAAAAATTAGACAAAATAGCACATTTTCTGAATTAGAAGATCATTTTGGCGTATCAATATCCTATGCTAGTAAAATATTTCTAGCAAATATACCTATTATAAGTAGCATTTTAAAACCATTTATTGTAAGTTTAGATAAAAAATTAATAAAAAAGAATCTTCCTATTGCATTTAGACACCACTTTCACAATGTTACTTGCATTATTGATTGTCTAGAAATTGATGTACAGAAACCATCAAAGGCTCTTCATCAGGCACTGACTTGGTCAGAGTATAAAAAAGGGAACACTCTAAAGTACCTAATATCCTGCACGCCTAATGGTCTAGTTAATTATGTTTCCCAAGGATTTGGTGGCAGAACAAGTGACATTGTTGTAGTGGAAAACTGTGACTTTCTAGACACATTACCACAAGGAACTTGCATTTTAGCAGACAGAGGCTTCAAGAACCTAGAACAGTTACTACAGGTAAAAGGCATGAAACTAGTAAGGCCACCCAGTGTAAATGCTGGTACAAAGTTATCGAAAATGGAGGTTCGACAAACAAAAATGATCGCTAGCTTAAGAATTCACATTGAGAGAGTGATAAGGCGATTAAGAGAATTCCATATGCTAAAGCAACATTCAGTGATAAACACTAACTTCATTGGTATACTTGACCATATCATTATTATTGCATGTGCTTTAATAAATTTACAGGATTCTCTTATTAAATAAATACTATAGGTAACAATACAGTCATAACGATTAATCTCACCCAGTTTAACTGGCTAAATAAATAAATAAAAGCAATAAAACAAGAATCACGGAATGGTTTTTTATTTACATATCAAAATCTGGTGTTATTGTACAAAATAGGGTACATATTTGTTTTCCAAAAAGCAACTAACTTACTTAATAAATTATTAATATAGTCACTATTATATGTGACTAAAATTATATCAACATTTTTTGTTTCCTCAAAGTTGCTATCAGCAATACAAAAATAACATTTTTGTACACCAGTTGCATACATTTGCAGTTGCACCTGTGCCTTGAACTTTTCAGTTATAGTACCATTTTTTATATACCTGTCCTTAGCTTTTGCCTTAGTAGGGCATTTTATTTCAACAACAGCATCTTTCATTAAGCCATCAGGAGACGCTGCAATCATTGGATACCCTTGACATACATAAAGCCCACATGAAGTAATTGGTTTTTTTAATATCTTAGAGATAGTCTTTCTGACAGATAGCTCCAATTGTCTGCCTCTATTCATAGCAGCTGTATCGGGAATTTTTGCACCCATTATAGCAGCCACCAAGGAACCATCTTTTGTATGACAGACACTAGCTTCATGAGCCTTTGATGCTGTAATACGGCCATATCTCATCTCATACCATAAGCTGCTCTTGTTCTGCCCCCTTGTCGCTTGTTCAATGGTACATAGCACAGTTTCAGTAAATGTTGCTTTCATGACATCTATAAGTTTGTCTATGTTTATCTTAATTTCTGGAGATTGGTCCATTATAAAACAGTGCAATGAGTACTGTGTTATTTTGTGTATAAACTCATTCTGATACCTTAGCAATTCACAGCTCTCAACTTTTCTTCTTTTGGCTTCTGGAAGAAATCGTGCATATAGTTCCATTGAACTTGGTCTGGATGGAACTTTCTTTTTAGCCAAATGCTGTGCAGTTATGTACTTGAGAGTAGTCCCTATACGAGATAAAGTAGGTTTCCTCCAATAGCATTCTACGGAAGTACATGCAGGCTCTTCGGAGCGACGATGGACCCACATCAAAAAAGCAACTGCATGCTTGCATCCTCCAGCTGAAGCAGCACAGTCGTGGCACTGACAACTAATAACTTCGTTTTCGTTTTCGTCAACAACTAATGTCACATTATAACCAGTGTTTCTCACTTTATGTTCCGGGCACATTTTACACTTAACTGTACAAACTCCAAGTTGCCGGTATAGTTGGACATATCCAATCGCATCATCTCCATAGGACTCCCTTGCAGACCTGTGAAACAAAAGAAAGACCATTAAAAAAAGTTATTTACACGTTCCATAACCTAAGAGATATGTTACAATTTTGTTAAGTTATATAAAATATTAGCAAATAAATGATTTGTACGTCATACTTACACTGCTGTTTTCACATTTTTAAGTTCCGCAGCATAATAATCAGCGTTATTCTTAAAGAAAAGTGCAACCATAAACGCGTCTATTTTAGGAAGAGTTCTGCTATCAGCTCGTACAAAATTTGACTCCATTTTGCGATTTGTATAGATATTAATACCACTTCTTTCTGAATCTATTAAAAAATACTTTTAGAAATAACTAAAACACTTAAAAAAAACACATAAATGCGCACTTAACATCGGTTGAAGGAATCCACAAATTAAGATTTTTGTTTTGTTTACTTCATATCTTTTAATCTATGGTTCACTTTTGACACTTATGACCATTGCGGTGTCGTCACAAATTTGTGTCCAATCACAGGACGTTCCCGTCCGAGATAAAATGATTAAAAAAAATTAAATTTATTTCGCTAAATTTGCTTAAAACTTTACACCAAATAGTGTAAAATAAAATAAATTATGCTTTTCTATCCTTTTATCTACTAGGATGGCCATAATTTAGAGAATATTTTCAATGTTGTCAAATAGCCTATTGTGTGATGTTTGTGAATTTGTTTTGTGTCTGAGTGTAATTTATCTATAATAGTTATGTATTTAGAAATATATAACTATGTTTATCAGTAGTTTGGTTTTCATAAACTCAAAATAAAAATATATATTTGAAATCATCTCAGACTCACAGATCAACACACTTAATAGCCACAATCCAGTTGGGAGTAATATGTTAGTTATCTTTTCAAAACCAATTTCGTTGTCTGCTTACTTTTCATCAAAAAATGTCATTACTAAGTAAAGGTCGTTGTTGTTGTCACCTTACTTACCTGTGCTTTATATAACGTTGTTATATCGTCTGTATGTAATAACATAAATATTCAATGTCACATGACTTTGACACGAAGTCGGGGCGAGCACGGCGTTCGACACAATCGGGCCTATTCTGCAATTCCACTCGCCACAGAACAGAAAACATGCATTTTCCTCGAATTAATGAACACACTATACACAGTTTTCCTGCTAGAATCCAACATATTTATTTATTTGTTCTTTAGATGTCTGTCAACCAACTCATTTCAGTGGTATTAGGAGCTTTATTTTGTGGTACCCAAGTGTCAAATCAAAATGTAAACAATCATTATTCGAACTCCTTGGGAATTTTTTAATCTATATTCAATCAATGAAAACAGACGGCTAGGGTTTTTATTTTTGTGAGTAGTGTGCTTATGTGTTGGTGGAATCGACAATTGCATCAAATTTTACTACCCTGAGTCGTCTATACAAGGTGTAAGGGACATCGAACCGAATACTGAAACGGTGTATTCAGACCATGATTCTGAATCGAAAAATCATTGAAATTTTCTGCCGAAAAATTAATTTTCTTCCCATTTTTTCTGGTTAAAAATGATATCACAATAAGTAGACAGAACATTTTAAAGAAAACAATTTAATAAATTCCAAAAAACTGCGCAGGGCTTCCCCTCCGGCCGCTATTTCGTGTTAGTGTGCGTTGACTGTTTGCACGGAATACACATGTAGTTACTACTTTTGTGCGATACCTACGGGGAATAACCTTCACATTTGACAGTTGATTGCATAACAAGTTTAATTATCAGGTAGAAAATTTTCGACTCTGAATGATGGTCTGAATGCGCTATTTCAGTATTCGTTACGACGTCCATTGCACCGAGTATATTAATACGGAGCTGAAGAATTTATTTTTGTTGTAATGCGGTGTCTGAAACTGAAATGCTCTTAAGGAATGTTACAGGTTAAGTAACATCACGCTTTGACTCTTAGGAGTAGAGCAATGACCATGATATACTAATGAAACTACGTAGAATGGGTTGTGATGTGTTCGCTCGAAATTTACAAGTGCGTTGTAGTCTTTCATCGTCTTTCGAGCCAGATTCATTTTATCATGTTATCCTTGTGGTGACGGATTGGTACCACTCCTGTTCATCCCGTGGGTGTCGTAAGAGCCGACTAATGAAGCAAATTATACAGGACAACAGCATTGCGAAGAGAGGGCAAACTTAAAACAAACTATACTAACCCGTCTGGCCAGCTTGGTATAGTGGGCCAAAACCTCCTTAGGCCTATGTCTAGCAATAGACCATTTGTTATATTCAATGTCAATCAGGTTGTCAATGATGATAATAAGCCAGAATCAGGCGGGGGGAAGGTTTCCGTAACCTCACTCGATAAAAGGCAATGAGCAAGCAAATATTACTCAACAGCTGTGTTCTGTGAGGCTGTGGTTTGACTCCGGTCTAACCTGCCTATTCCTGCCCAAGATGGCTCTCCACGCACAAAGTTCCATACGAAGTGGAATGCTGGCACCCCCTCCCCCCCCCTTTTTTAGTTGAAGGATACGTAAAATTGGACCTGCTTATGCGTATCAGAATTAATTGACGCAAATGCTAAAATAAAGGTTATGAATACGGAAGGCCTTCAAACCTGTAGAGATCAAAATGAAATATTTAACCGACTTAAAAAAGGAAGTTTTCAATTTGGTTTGATTTTTACGTTTGTTATCTCAGAATTCCGTCATTTATAAACCAATTTAGAAAACTGTTTTTTTATTTAGTAGGTTACAGTAAGTAAGTCTAATTATACAAGCAAAAAATTTTACTTTATAATAACTTATGTGATGCTTTACGTTCCAGATGCCCCGTGGTCGGGACGATATGCAAGTAAACGTGGCGGGCCTAAGGAGAAATATTAAAAACATTGCGCACAACTATTCCGATGCCCAGGTAACGTACTTTCTTAATTAAAATGACTGCACTTCATTTTGACTGCACGGATGGCGTAGTGGTTTAAGCGGTCGCCACGCCGCTTCCTACTACGCCGAGTGTTGTGGGTTCAAACCCCACATAGGACGACACTTTGTGTGATCCACAAATTGTTGTTCCAAGTCTGGGTGTTATTTGTGTCCGTTTCATGTATGTTTGTAAAGTCCCCCGCGACACAGGATATTTTCCTAATGCGGGAGTTGTCTTTTTAAAAAAAAAAAAAAAAATTAAAAAAGGGGCGAACGAGCAAGGAAACGAACGGGTCATCTGATATAATAATAATATTTCGGACATTGACTCACAACGCCGTCTAGTTTAAAACTAAGCAGAGCTTGTACTATGAAAGCTAGATTGACTAATAGAATACATAGAAAACATCCAAACTCCGAAACAAATGTTTGCAAATCATACAAACATTTGGTCCGACCCGGGATCGGACCCGACACCTCAGCACAGCAGTCGCATACGTTACCACTGCACCACCGAAGCAGTCAATAGTGATAGTAAGAGACATCTTCGTCCCTGGGCACCTGTACCTCAAGAGACATAAGTGTTGCCTTTTGAGTGGCCAGAGGAAACAAGTGGAGGGGGGGTCTGGAGTTTGTAGGTCCACCAGATTCAACAAAATATTTTTTTAAACACCGGTTTTGTATACGGCTGTGGCGTCATTCTGGTCGTGCCAGCCCATAAGTGCTGAAGTATGGATAGCCATGCATGAACAATACCTATAGCTTAACGAGTTGTTAATATGACTTATGTATGGTGTGTGTTCAGGTAAAAGTGCGCGAAGCAACATCGAACGATCCATGGGGCCCCTCAAGTACGCTGATGGCGGAGATCGCCGACCTGACATACAATGTCATGGCGTTCACGGAGATCATGCAGATGATATGGAAGCGGCTCAACGACCACGGCAAGAACTGGCGGCATGTTTACAAGGTACGGCCGCATACTTAATGTTTAACATTTTTACAAAAGAAGCATAATATCTTTAAGCGGTCGCCACGCCGCTTCCTATTACGCCGAGTGTTGTGGGTTCAAACCCCACATGGAACAACACTTTGTGTGATCCACAAATTCTTGTTCTGAGTCTGGGTGTACTTTGTGTCCGTTTCATATATGTTTGTAAAGTCCCCCGCGACACAGGATTTATTCCTAATGCGGGTGTTGTCTTTTTTTTTTAAAGAATAAAAAGAAAGAAAGAATATATATATCATCATCATCATCAACAGCCTATACTAGTCCACTGCTGGACATAGGCCTCTCCTTAGAAAGGAGGTTTTGGCCTACTATACCACGCTGGCCAGACGGGTTGGTATAGGGTTTGTTTCAAGTTTTCCTTCTCTTTGCAGTGCTGTTGTCCTGCTTAGTTTGCTCCCTTAGTCGGCTCTTACGACACCCACGGGATGAATTGGGGTAGTGACAATTTGTATTCTTAATCCGTCACCACACAAGAATATATATATATATATATATATATTTATATTTGGGACACACCCTACATGGCCGTCTGATCCCGAATCAGGCAGAGCCTGTACTCTGTAACCAGACTACTGATAAACATGCTTATACGTAAAAGATACAACATGCCTATTATAGGGACATAAATGATGAGCACGGCCATTTATTCTGTGTCTGGCTGTAATTCATCTAAAGTTTGTATGTATTTATGAATATATACGTATGTTTATCAGCAGTCTGGTTACCATAGTACAGTCTCTGCCTAGTTTGGGATCAGACGGTGGAATGTCACATGTCTGAGGTTATTATTTAAACATTGACGAATATATTTTTCCGTTTTCAGGCTTTAGTGTTGATGGAGTATCTTATAAAGACCGGCAGTGAGAAAGTAGCAATGCAGTGTAAAGAAAACATATTCGCTATACATACGCTGAAAGACTTCCAGTATATGGAGGAAGGGAAGGATCAGGGTAAGGCTGAACAAGTCAGATAAACTGTATTAATAATCATAACTTGGAACATCTCACACACGCAGTCTGATCCTAAACTAGACAGAGCCTGTGCTATGGTAACCAGACTGCTGATAAACATACTTATATATTTTTAAATAGATACATATTAAAGATAAATTACATCCAGACAAAACAAATCGTTCTCATCACACAATTATAGTCACTTACCATCAGGGCCCCAATTCTGCTATTTTAATATTTTATCAATAGACTGTCGATGGAATGGCGTCAGAATAGTTTTGCACTTTTCCTATTCTACTAACTATGTAAGACCAATAGACTGTCACTGATACAAATGTCGTCGATGTCTTTGTAATGGTTTAGTAAACGGTACATTTTAAATTTGCAAGAAAATGATATATTTAATTTTTCAGGTATGGCAATGTTGTTGATATCACCATTGATGACCTATATTAGTATATCGACGGTCTATTGAGAATGTAGATTTATGTTAGCAGAATACTGATATTTTGACCGATGTCAATGGCGTCTCAATGACATTTCAATAGCGAATGTGGCTTGGCGTTAACATAAAATAGCAGTATTGAGGCCCAGATGTCTCACTCTACTCATTCCCCTCCTATGGCATATAAAAGCCTCCAAAGCCTCCATTGCGCTTACTTCCGCGACTTCACACTTTTCCGTCCCTGTTCACGACATCAGTTTCAGGATAATGAGAGGGGAGGTGTTCATGAAAAACTGTGTATAATGAAAATAAAGCCTTTTATTACCTAATTACAGTAAATATTTCAATTTTTGTTTTTAACTTATTTTTAAACAAATATAAGTCTGTCATAATCATCATAATCGGCCTATCGCAGTCCACTGCTGGACATAGACCTCTCCCATTGCACGCCACTTAGATCGGTTTTGGGCTTCTCGCATCCAGCGCAATATAAAAATCAAGAGACGTGTAATAATCTATATTTAAGTAATTTTTTTGTGAGGGTAGGAACCCCTCTCAGGTGAATGCCTCTTCCAAGGTATGCAATTTTTATGATTTTGGTCTATTCGTATCCATCGTAGTCCAGCTATTATTCTAATATCATTGCGTAGGGTCTACCTTCACAGCCAGTTTATTTATTATTCGTCCTTGTGATGATAGTGTTCCAACAAAACTGTGTATACAATTACATTAATAAATCTTATATTATCCCCAGGACTTAACGTTCGAGAGAAAGCGAAACAGTTAGTGAACCTGTTGAAAGACGACGAGCGACTAAAGAACGAGCGCGCCCGCGCTCTAAAGGCGAAACAACGTTTCGCACAAAGCGCCAGTGCCTTTGGAAGCGATGGCGCCCTCGACACTCCCTCCAGCCCCACCTACCCACCGGTAAGTTATACCCGAGATACCCACTGGGAACTGCTACACAAGACCTTCAGTCACACACTCAACACCACAGACTAATTGTCTTAATGGACCAGTGAGCAGTTTTTGTTACGCCTTCTAACTGTCCATTAGTAAAGAATTCTCGGCAGGATCTCCAGCTCTCCCCCTCAGAAATTTAGATACGCTCATGAGGTAAATAATCCCTCCCACACGCTCCCTACTGTAACTTATGTACACCAGGATCAACAGCGGTGACCCACAATCACACCCGAGTTGTGACCCTGGGAAAGTCTGACACCCTGTCTTGGAACTTGCAACGAAATTAATCAGAAGTAAATTGGAGTAATTCGAAATATAACAAATCCACTCCCTTCCTTAGCAAAGAGGAAAAAAGCTTTCCTCCTTCAGGTAGATGACTACCACCGCTACCACCCGCCAAGATTAACAAATTTTAAAGAAGTTTTTTTAGAAGAGTAAAATAAAGAAATTAAATTATTTAATTCATGTTTCAGCTACCCAGTGAACCAGCGGAGTGGTCAGGTCGGGAGTCGGAGTTGGCCAGGCCTCTAACAGCTGGCGAGGAAGAATTACAGCTGCAATTGGCGCTGGCCATGTCAAGAGAAGAAGCGGAGAAGGAAGAAAGGCGTCGTAGGTCCGACGATGTACGGTTGCAGCTTGCTATCAGCCAATCGCAAAATGACTTCCAGTTAGTATATCAATTTTAATTATAACATTATGACAACGTCAGTTTAGCTGAGCCTAGTTCGATTCCCAATTCCATTCAGTGCAAATACTTATATGTTTTTGTCTTTATGTGTATTTTATGCATGTTTATTCATATCCTTGAAGTCATGGTTCAAGTTATGCTTAGGCCCTTAGCATCTAATCTAATATTATAAATGTGAAATGTCTGTCTGTCTGTTATTTCTTCACGCCTAACCCGCTGAACCGATTTAGATGATACTTGGTATGAATATAGTTTGATTTTGGAGGAACATACATACATAGGTTACTTTTTATCGCGATAACCGATATACACTCGGGCGGAGCTGCGGGCAAAAGCTAGTGTTTAAAGAATAATATCTCAGAATATAGATATGTAATCCGAATTGTACCAAACTCCCTATCAGAGTGCACGAATGGCGTAGTGGATTAAGCGGTTAGCTCCCAGATTCATACAGCGCTAAGTGTCGTGGGTTCAATCCACCATGGGAATGTTGTAAAGTCTTCCGTGGATATATTCCTAGTGCGATTGTTATCTTATAATAAAAAAAAATAGGCGTAATAGCCAAGTAGCCATCGGTGAACATGAGTGACTAGCCCGCGTGCACGCCCTGTAGACTAGAGGCGTACCTCCGGTCGGAGGCGCTGCGCGTGCGGCGGTGCGCGGCGGGTGCGGGGCGTGCGGGGCGCGCGGGGGGCGCGGGCGAGCTGTCGCCGCGCTGCTGCGTGCTGCCGTGCCTGCGCTGGCCGCGCGCCGACCGAATGTAATACGTTGTCAGTGCCCCACTCTTTGATCGCTGTACGTGTAGATATACCTCACCGTATAAGGGTGCAATATGTAAACATATGTAATTAATAGTTTTACAATTATTTAAGCAGTTATATAACAGGGTAGCTGACTGTATCCTAGTTTAAGAGCTTCCCCGGGATAGGGCTGTCGATCTGGGGGGGGGGGGAGGGGTTCTGAAATAACATGGACCTCCTCGGAATAGGACGCCTGAGTCCGGCCGTCGGGATGGGCGTCGATCTGGGGGGGGATCTGAAGTAACATGGACCTCCTCGGAGTAGGACGCCTGAGTCCGGCCGTCGGGATGGGCGTCGATCTGGGGGGGATCTGAAGTAACATGGACCTCCTCGGAGTAGGACGCCTGATTCCGGCCGTCGGGATGGGCGTCGATCTGGGGGGGATCTGAAGTAACATGGACCTCCTCGGAGTAGGACGCCTGAGTCCGGCCGTCGGTCTGGGCGTCGATCTGGGGGGGATCTGAAGTAACATGGACCTCCTCGGAGTAGGACGCCTGAGTCCGGCCGTCGGGATGGGCGTCGATCTGGGGGGGGATCTGAAGTAACATGGACCTCCTCGGAGTAGGACGCCTGAGTCCGGCCGTCGGGATGGGCGTCGATCTGGGGGGATCTGAAGTAACATGGACCTCCTCGGAGTAGGACGCCTGAGTCCGGCCGTCGGGGTGGTTTTTAGTGAAAACACCACATACTCCTGGCTCCTACATCCCCAAGGAGCCGGAGATCCGAAGGGATTTTCCACCTCGTCAATAAAAACTAGTTTAGAAGTCTGTCGTAACTAACCGGTATTTGTGATCATATTACTACTTAAGCTTTGATATACCTGTGCATATTATGTGCTGTGATTAAGCTAAGTGTAAATTTAAGAATAAATAAATATGGCCGCTTCATTGAAACAAATATCACAATCATCAACAGCCTATAATACTCCACTGCTGGATATAAACCTCTCCTTAGACAGGAGGTTTTTGGTGTAATATACCACGCTGACCAAACGGGTTGGTATAGGGTTTGTTTCAAGTTTTCCTTCTCTTTGCAGTGCTGTTCTCTTGCGTAGTTTTCTCCCTTAGTCGACTTTTACGACACCCCCGGGATGAATTGGGGTGATGACATTACGTATTCTTAATCCGTCACCACACGAAGATAACAAACATCTCAAAAAATATAATTATTCTTGCTTTTTATGACTATTACAAATTAATATCAAATAAACATTAAAATATAATCTGCAATTGAGTAGTTTAAAATAGTGACGTCACAAGTTACTATATAATACAGTTTTCATACACAATTGTCATTTTGACAGATAATAAAAAAATTACCAAATCTGACGTAAAGTGTCAACTACCCTGTACTAATTGTCATTTTGACAGATAATAAAAAAATACCAAATTTGACGTAAGGTGTCAACTACCCTGTTGCTTTCCTTTGTATCTCCCTTTTGTATTTAAACAGTCGGGTATTATTGATTATAGTTATTAAATAGTATTGTAGAATTGAAAATATGTATTGAGAAAAGAAATCATCAATTTGTGGTCACTAAATGTAAAGTATTATGTAATAGACATCATAATTAAATATCCGTAGCTTTTATTATATTGTTTATTAGACTTTATTGAACCTGTTACTAGTCTGACGTGAAGAACCATGCTCTGGCACAAATGGTCCCGGCTCGACCGAAGTGATACCACAGCCTCACGCAAAACCGCTGTTAAGCAGGTTACCGAAGCCCAAAGCACCCCTCTTTCCATTTCTTGGGGAAGGGGGGAGTTAAAGCGTTACGGACCAGTGATACCACCCAATGACACCACCGGTATTGTCAAAGTTATTATTCTTTTATATAATGACACCACCGAGTAACTAACAGAATGAAAGAAGGAAAAGATATTTATTTCATTATTAAATAAAATAAAAGTCAGCCGAGCCTCATTTTAGATTAAATAAACACATAAAGATAAACATAATTCAATGGTTACTGAACGTTTTGTCAGACATTCATGGTTTAAAGATAGATTAAGGTGTCCGTGGGCGATGGTAGTCACTTTCCATCAGGTATACCATGAAAAAGATTCTCATAATACTGTAAGCGTGAGTGTATTTATGTATAGATTACTCCAAAGAAAGCTTATGAAAGATATACAATGCGATGTTTATAACTTTATAGGACGGGCGTAGAACCTGCGCCGTCTAAAACAGCCGCGGAGCCTTCGCAACAGTCACACCTCCTGGACCTGCTCGACGTGAACCTCAGCAGTCCGCCCTCACACACCGCCCCAGTGCCCGAGCCCTGGGGCAGGGAACCTAAACAGGTACATAAATATATATTGAGTCAATCATCATGAATATTAATAATTTATTATTATTGATACCTACTACAGAACAGTTTCAAACTTAAAAAACTTTCAAATATATATGTTCCGTGTCCTTGTTAGAAATTTTTTGCTGCACGGATGGTTGATTTGTAGTACGCTGAGTGTTGTGGGTCCGATCCCCACATGGGACGACACTTTGTGTGATCCACAAATTGTTGTTTTGAGTCTGGGTGTTCTTTCTGTCTGTTTCATGTATGTTTGTAAAGTTCACTGCGACACATGATATATTTAGAAAGAAATAGAGGGAACTATCTATTATCCTTCTCTCTCGTTGCTAATATTGCATGATTGGGGCTCTTATTCCCTCTATTTAATATCTCTATGCTCATGACTCTTGAATTGCAGAATTGCTCCGCTCGTTTTTTTCTCTATACCGAAAAAAAAGAGACTTAAAAACAAAGATTTTTAACAAACAAACCCACTGCCGCAATTATAGGTTGGGATTAGTAATATATCATAATTTTGTCTCAGCCTTCACATTTGGATTATGGTATTTTCAGTGACTCTATGGTAAGGAATTGACATTGATTGTATTGGCTAGGAATAAACCAATGCTAATGAGTTTAAAGTTACTGTATTCCGCTTAATTTACTATTTATTGTATCACAGACAGTTCTAACGTGATTATAATAGTTTTAGCAAATTGAACATTCTGTTTATATATATTTTTCTGGTGTTTAACGTTTTTCCTCTAATCTGTGTGAGTGATTTTCTGAAAAGGGACGGATATGTGTAACAGGAAATTTTTGTGTAGTGTAACTTTATGGTTGGGCCGGCTCGACCGGTGATACCACGGCCTCACAGAATACCGGTGTTAAGCAATTCTTTTGTTTCCTTTCACTGAGTGAGTGAGGTTACCGGAGTCCCCCCCTCTCCCCCCCGCTGGCTCGAACGGGAAAGACTCCAAGGGTATCAACGCACTTGTGACTATTGAGTTGCAGGTGTCCACGAGCGGCGGTAGTTGCTTACCATCAGGTGACCCGTCTGCTTGTTTTCCCTCTTATACCAAGTGTAACAACAAGAAGTGACAACAACAAGGGTGATAGATTGGTTGGTTAGAAACATTGATTGTTAATTAAAGCTCATTTAACTAAAGCACAGCGCTGGTCTTCATTGGGATACCCTAAACTCCTTACATCAAGTCACGTCGCTACGCATATACATAACAACCCTAATTGTCAGCAAAAACAAAAAGTTAATTATTTATATGACTAGAGGAACACGTGTATCCGTGTAGAATGCGGAGTGTTGCCACCCCTATTCATCCTATGTCGTAAGAGCCGAGTAATAAAGCTAACTGCGCTGTACAACAGCACTGCAAATAGAAGGCAAACTTGAAGTAAACCCTGGCTGACCATGGTATAGTAAGCCTCCTTTCTAAGGAGAGGCGTATGTCCAGCAGTGGACCATTAAATGTTGTTGTTGATGATGATGTAGGTTTACTCTTTTCCCTGTATGAAAGGTAGGTACAATATGACATTTTCTTTTCCCCTGACAGTGTATATTAAAATTTCACAATGTTAGGATTTTTGGAATGAAGTTCCTTATCCCAAGTTACATGCTCTGAGCGGAATGGAGACCGAAAAATGTGTAACAAGACTTTTTTCCGACACTTCTTGTTTTTATCACAAATCAATTATTACAGTGATTGAAAATAATGATTAAATCTATTTCAACGTTTATTTATATTTTTATGATAATGTTTATTTCTAAATTTAAAATAAGTATTATTAAACAAAATAAAATTTATACAATTCCAAAAATTTTATTTGTTATTCATCCCGTGGGTGTCGTAAGAGCCGACTAAGGGAGCAAACTAAGCAGGACAACAGCACTGCAAAGAGAAGGAAAACTTGAAACAAACCCTATACCAACCCGTCTGGCCAGCGTGGTATAGTAGGCCAAAACCTCCTTTCTAAGGAGAGGCCTATGTCCAGCAGTGGACTGTTAAAGGCTGTTGACGTTGATGATGATGATGATGATACAAAATAAAATTTATACAATTCCTAAATTTTTATTTGTTATTAACTTTATTATCCCAGATTATTCAGTGTTTGATTAATGATTATTTATTTTATACAAGATTAAAATATGTTAGCATACATTTTTCAAATTAAATCTATTAACTTTATATTTTATAATATAAATTATAATGACTGTATAGCAAGCGAAAGGGACTACGTTCCGACCGGGGTCCAGAGACCCCACAAGCCGTTTTTTAATTAATAGAATTCGTAATACATTATAATTTTGTCTTAGCCTCCAACGCATTTGGATTATGGTATTTTTGGTGACTCTATGGTAAGGAATTGAAATTGACTGTAGTGGCTAGGAATATACCTGTTGCTAACAAGATTAAAGTAATTGTATTCCGCTAAATTAAATATTCATTGTATCACAGACAGTTCCAAACGTCATTGTAATGAAGTGTTAGCAAATTGAGAATTATGTTTATATTATTATTTGACGTGTAACATCTTTCCTCTCGGTTTCTTCTATCTGTGGTGCGGTGGTGTGTAACAGGAAACCGTGGAAGCATGGGATATTTGATTTGACCAATGAACCGCGCGTTGTTGATTTGATCAATAAGCGTGCGCTATTTGATTTGACCAATGTGCGGGCGCTATTTGATTTGATCAATAAGCGGGCGCTATTTGATTTGACCAATAAGCGCGCGCTATTTGATTCTAATAATAAGCGCGCACTATTTGATTCGACCAATAAGCGGGCGCTTTTTGATTCGACCAATAAGCGTGCGCTATTTGATTCGGTCAATAAGCGGGCGCTATTTGATTAGACCCATGATCAGGCGCTATTTGATGTGACCAATAAGCGCGCGCTATTTGATTTGACCAATGAGCGGGTGTGGTGCTAAAGTTGCCGGCAAATGTTTAGTGAAATATTAGATGTTACACATCATATATAACTGTTGTAAGACGCGCTCGTTTTTTTTTTCAAATTGTATTTATGATTTTTTTTCGAAATAGTATATACATCATAATAGTAATCAGAACTCACATCGTAAGTATCATCATCATCATCATCAGCCTATCGCAGTCCACTGCTGGACATAGGCCTCTCCCACGTCACTTAGATCGATTTTGGTCTTCTCGCATCCAGCTCCTAAGTATATCTTGTCCATATTTAGAATGAGGTGTCTAAACGCTAGCTATTGTAGTCTGACATTCTCTGACTGCAGGTTAACGATTTCGTCATTGTTTAAAAAAATAATTAAATGTCATACATTTTTTTTATTGTCCTAATTAGACATTATGCATTTGTTCAGGAAACGTCGTCGGACGCGTGGTCAGCTGTGGGCAGCCCGGCGCGAGACCCCTGGGCCCCCACCGCAGCCCCCCCGGACCCCTGGGCGCCCGTCTCACATGTGAGTAGTCTTCTTTAATGCTCATTAATTGTAATTGTATCAATCATAGAAGTAGTGATGGTGTTTGGTTATGTATATGTCTGCGAAAGGTTTAAAACGTTGATCGGTCAGTCTACAGTAAACATTTGCATTGACAATACGTATTTTAGTTGAAGTAATCATGCAATAGTCATGCAAAAATGAACTTTAACACCCCAATAGATGGTATATCGTATAGTGATAATGTGGAGATTTCCAAATACAACGAAAAAAAGAACACACTTCAATGCCATCTAACGAAGACACACCGAACTACGGCAAATCCTGTATCGCGATATGAAAAGTGCTTACACTGATGAACGTTATTTACAACTTTCCAACATCAACCGATTAACCGCAGCCCGCCAACGATGACCACCTTGCCTGGTCTGAGGATCCGCCCTGTGGAGGGACTTATCACCCAATAATAAGATATCACACGTACATTCACACCTGTAAAATTTAATACAGCTACAGATGATGAACAAGTCTCCAGTATCTGTGCTGTCGTCGCCTTCGTCTTCAGATCTGGAGCAGTTCGACGCGCTGTCGCAGCGCCCGCGCACCCATCCAAACAACAACCTCAACAACAACCACGCCGACTCTGACCCCTTCGACCTAACCGGACTCGGTGAGTTATATATATCTATAAAGGATAAGTTATATATGTGGATCTGTTTGTAACATAGTAGCTCCTAAACGGATGAATCGTTTTTTAAATCATTTATTGTTCGTTGTTGATTAAGTGTTATTATATATGTTCAGCCATTCATGATTATAGAGTAATTATGAAAACATGTTTTTTTAAGAATTACTTAGTTAAATGTAAATTATTGAGAAAATATTTTTTTTATATACATGAATGATGGCTTAAATTATCATTATCTTTACTTTCGGTTATTGTATTAATTCATAATATATTGATGGTAGCAGTGATAATTTCGATAAATAAAACATTTACACAGGTTCGCAGATTAAGTTAATATTACTTTGACTAACTAATTTAATAGAATTAGAATATCTAATATATAAAATTCTCGTGTCACGGTGTGCATGGTTGTACTCCTCCGAAACGGCTCGACCGATTTTCGTGAAATTTTGTATGCATATCGGGTAGGTCTAAGAATCGAATTTTCATACCCATATTTTTTTTTGTTAAATAATGAATATGGCAAAACAACGTTTGCCGGGTCAGCTAGTAATTATATAAAACAACGTTAATAAATTAATTATGTATTGAGTCTTACGAATAGGTTGCAGATGATACCGAACACCTACGATAGGTGTTTACTCTTCAACGTCTGACAAGCAAATGAGATATAAAATACTCGATGTTGGTTCGAAACTGACAATATATTGTCTTGTGGAGAGAATTCGTTGATCCCCTTTTTAAGTAGATTAAGCGCGATTTAGAGAAGAAAACATTAATTAATGTATAAAAGTTCTGGGATATATTATCTATCTGTATAGGTTTGAAATAAAGAAAGAGTATTATTTATAAACAATGGTTAAGCATTAAGCAATAAGCATCGTATGATGTATGTGTCGTGCGCAGGTGACAACCTGAGCCCGGTGTCGTCCCCGGCGCAGGGCACGGGCGCCGTGAAGAAGTCCCCGTCGGCGTTCCTCGGCGAGAACTCGTCGCTGGTGAACCTGGAGCGCCTGCTGCAGCCCCCCGCCCCCGCGCCCGCGCCCGCCCCCGCCCCCGCGGCGCCCAACCCCTTCGCGGCGCTGGACGCGCCCCTCGCCCCGCTCGCCCCGCACCCGCCCCGCCCCGCGCAGATGTTCGCGCAGCCGCCGCCGGTCAGTTACACCTTTCTACTCTTAGTGGTAGAGTTCATCGACTCTGAGTCTTAAAAATCTTCCACTGACCATTGAAATGTGGGTTCACTGATTGGCGTTTGTGACTGCTGGGTCAAATCCTAGATTCGATTCCCACCCATAATAAATAGTTGTGTATTGAACGCACCACGCGTTCTGTGCTTGGGTGTAATAAACATTGAATATACATTATATTTTATATAGTTACCTATTTAGACGACTGGATGGCATAGTGGTTTGTGTAACGGACTGCTATTCCAAAGGTCGCGGGTTCGATTCCCGCTCAAGTCAAACATTTGTGTGCATGAACATTTGATGTTTGATTTGATCTGGGTGTTTCTATGTATAATATGTATGTATTTACGAAAAAAAGTATATATGTATTTATATCAGTTGTCTAGTACCCATAGTACAAGCTCTGCTTAGTTTGGGATTAGATGGCGTAGTGTAAATGTGAGAGAATATAATTATTATTATTATTATTTAATACTTAATGCACATGTTGTACGAAGTAGTACGGACTTAATGCCATGAGACATGCTCTCCCAGTCGACCGAGTCGGTGATGTAGAAATATGACGCTGTAGGTGCAAAAATAAAATATTAAATTTAATGTAGTTCATATTTAGATAAATATAAAATTACATTAGATACAACAAAAACACAAAAATTGGTTACTACAAATATTATTATATTTAAAATCATATATAGATACACAGTCAGGTACTAGCGTTGTGATTGCTCTGCGAATTAATTTATATATCACAAAATACTGTTGAAACTTTTGAACCAGCTCAACCGGGTCAGGTACACACGCAGTCTTACAGAAAAACCGGTGTTAACTAACCATCAGTCGACCTGTCTACTCATTTGCCCCCCTACATCATGAACATGCTGCCAGCAATTTAAAAAAATGCCAATATTTTAGGATCATTAATATTTGACCAAATCGTTCTTGTAATGCTTTAACCGTTAATTGACCTATGTACCTACCTACCTGACCTACCTACATATGGGCTGAGTGCAAGTTTATTTTGTTTTGTTAATTATTAATAAATAAAAAGATGGCGCATTAGGAATATATCCTGTCGCGGGAGACTTTACAAACATACATGAAACGGACACAAAAAACACCTAGACTCAGAACAACAATTTGTGGATCACTTTTTTTATCAACTTTGACTCATCACATCAACAGCCTTTAATAGTCCACTACTGGACATAGGCCTCTCCCCAGAAAGGAGGTTTTGGGTTACTATACCACGCTGGCCAGACGGGTTGGTATAGAGTTTGTGTCAAGTTTTCCTTCTCTTTGCAGTGCTGTTGTCCTGCTCGGTTTTCTCCCTTAGTCGCCTCTTACTACACCCACGGGATGAATAGGGGTGTGGTGACACTTCGTATTCTTAATCCGTCACCACACGGCGTGGTGAACTTTGACTAAGATCACATATTTATTCAGTATCTCTACTTCAACTTGTTTGTGTTCAATGATGGTTCGAGCGTATTTGGTCTTGCGATGAGCCCGCACTGAACTATTCACTGAGTCAGTGAGTTGATTAGAAATAAACTCACACTAGTTCCAACAGCAACACCTGGTCTGCCATAAAGGAGTTAATGTTATGCTCGATTAATGTTGACTCTGTGTATATAATTTATTCTATTGATTTAACGATAATATATAATTCCAGGCCCGATTAACAATGAACGAGCTGAAGCAACAGCAGATGGGCCTCCAGGGGCTGTCGTTCCCGAGCACGTCGCCAGCGTTCGGCGCGCCCGCCGCAATCATGGCGCCTGCCCCCCTCCTCCCCCCCGCCGACCCGTGGGCGCCCGCCACAGGCGCCGCCCTCCCCATGGTGGGAGCGGCAGGGGTGGGGATGCCGGTGACGAGCATGGGCGTGGACGGCAGGTCCAGCTCGCCGTGGTCGCCTCCACACCAACGTCACACGCCGAATCCGTTCCTCTCCTAGCCGCTTATATCTCAGGTATCATCCATTTACATAATTTTTATATATATATATAATTATTCTGTGAGTGTGTATGTCACTGAACTTCTCTCAAACGACTGGACCGGTTTTTAATGAAATTTTTTGTGTGTGTTCAAGGGGATCTGGGAATGGTTTAGATTCACAATTTTGTCCGCTGGACAATGTTTTTTTAATTAATTTTTAATTTATTAGTAGTTGTTGATTTTGGAATGTTTTACATTGGATCAGACAGACGGCGCTACCATCGCAGTGTCAAATTTGACAGGACAACGTCTGTCGGGTCCGCTAGTTTATATATAAAATTCTCGTGTCACAATGTTCGTTCCCGTACTCCTTCGAAACGGCTTGACCGATTCTCATGAAATTTTGTGTTCACATCGGGTAGGTCTGAGAATCGGCCAACATCTATTTTTCATACCCCTAAATGGTAAGGGTGACCCATCCCTAATTTTTTTGTTTTGCAATACAACGTTTGCCGGGTCAGCTAGTTCCATTTAAAAATTGGTTAAGGTGATGCCTTAAATAATAGTAATTTAGCACAGGCTATTTCGTAGTTTAAATGTGATATGGGCTAGTGTGTCTTTTATTTAATTCTTCCATTTTTCTATGTTTTACTTCACTTTCTTTTTTGTTCCTTCTTTTTTCTATATCTTGTTTTCTCTTCATTGCCTTTTTAGCTTTTAGTCCTTAGAACTTACATACTGGCACATATCGAAACAATGTTGTGTATATTTAATGATTCCATTGTTATCTGTTGATTGAAAAGAGTGGCCAGGCTCAACCCCTTGGAAATGGGCGGTTGTAGATCGGCAAACGCATATTAGAGATATGCTATACGTATATGTATATTTAGTTTGCTAAATATTTGATAAAACAGAGATTGTTGCTATTGTGTGTGTTGATCTATGACTTTAGAGTCTACATAAAAGGCGATTTCAAATAATTTTAATTTTTTTTTATGATATAAACATTTTTGAGTACCGGTACGATTCCAATGAGGAAATTCTTTTGTATTTAATTAATATACATAAGTAGTTAATACAATGGGAAATATTTTTAAATATATATTTTCAGTAAATAAAAATGTTTTGATACACCCCTTGAAGTAATTAAAAAAATATTTTGTAACATACGAATTAGGATACTTTATACACACTGCAATCAATTTATTTTTTTATAGTAATTTTAAACATGCTTTCTTCTTATATAATATAAATGTTACTCATTTGAATTAATAAAACTATTCCTAATAATATGTTAGTGTCATGGTTGGAAGTAATAAAAATACCCCTTCTCTCCCCCCAGGGCGGCAGGTAACGTGTCGCTCGTAGCGCGTGACGCCGCCAGCTGACGTGTTCCTGGCGCCTCTAGCCACCACCACCGCACCACACGCCCCACCGCCCCACCGCCCCACTCTACCCATCTAATCTCAATACATGAACACGGCCCTTTACAAATATTTACCAAGACATATGTGCTTTCTACTCGTTGTTTAGGAAACGTCAATACGTTAGTTTCGATACGTTTTTGTATTACTAAGGTATGACGTCACAACTAAAAATTACTGATACTAGCAATTTGAAGGTCTGGACGACAATTTACACAATATTTTAGCCTTACTAACCAAGCCAAGCCTTACTAACATGCTGCGTTTCATTTGATCCCATTAAAATTAGTGAACTCTCGTTTATTATCAACCAATGGTACTAATTCTGTTGTCCGAAAACTCTCTAAACTAAACATCACTCAAAATTTAATTTAGTCTTGTCAAGTACTACTTTCACAAATACGAAATGTTTTTTGGCCAGGACTAAACTAATTTTTCATCATATTTAGTTTAGTTTAGAGTTTTCGAACAACAGAAGTAGCATCAACATTTATGAATTCCTTTTCTGACTAACGGACAATAAACAAAATAATTTTAAATAAAAAAAGCCATGTATTGAGATTAGAATTTAACCTTTTCTTTACATTTGATACGTCACCGTGTAATGTATGATTACCAATCAATATATGTTTATATACATAACGTATGGAGTGTGGTGTCTTCATGTGGAGTAGGCGATGGACTCAAGTATGGTGGTAGGTAGCAGGGTTTCGACGCATTGCGGTATACTCACCTCTGTTTTATATTTGTACCTCACAACTGTATAGAGGCAAACATTTTGACATTAAATTCTATCTTAATGTTAGGAGCTGGGTATACAATTATGTTAATTAGGTTAAATAACGTATTTAACTTGTGATTATAGTTCATTCGCGTTAAGAAAATAGTGACGCATCAATTTCCGTTCTCTAACCAATCAGGTTTCAAGAAATTATCGTTTCGTACGAACGCTTGGAACCTGATTGGTTAAGAGCTTGGGCTAATGGACTATAATACGTTTTGACGATATGTGTTTTTTTTTTTCACAAATAAAAATGAATTATAAATATATTATTTTGGTAATAAAATCATTTTTAAATCCCACATTGCCAACTTACAGTTGTAAGGTAATATATTATTTTTTCCAATCACAAAATACCTCACGAAATTGTTTTTTTTTTTAGCATTTTTTGTTTCATTATCTTGCTAAACCATGAACGTCGATACCCACTAGAGATGTAACATATTGTAATATGAAATATTTTATAAATAGACTGGATACTGCTGTGAGCTGTCGTGTTAAATATATAGCTGACGGTTGTGGTGTGTTTGTGTGTGCGAATGTATGTGTACCTAACGGTAATGTACGCAGAAGGTTTTCATACTTTTAATATACGAACAAAAAATTATAAAATGAATGAAAAGGATATTTATAAATGTTTATTTTACGCATTTATTTGATGTTTGGCTTCAGACCAGTTTTTGGTTTTTAGTAGTTTGTTTTATTCTATTGACCAGTATAATTTGGTATTTAATTAAGTAAGTAATTTGGTAAGAGGCGACTAAGGGAGCAAACTACAGCACTGCAAAGAGAAGGAAAACTTGACACAAACCCTATACCAACCCGTCTGGCCAGCGTGGTATAGTAGGCCAAAACCTCCTTTCTAAGGAGAGGCCTATGTCCAGCAGTGGACTATTAAAGGATGTTGATGATGATGAACCAACTTACTGTAATGGGTGTACAATAAAGCATATTCTATTTTATTGCCTCTGATACGAGTAACTTAACAGAAACATAAGTTGTTATGTTTGTACATATCATTACCTACTGCAATATACTGATCGAATAATTATATGCATATAAATACATTCAAAAAAATATCAGACAATCTTTAGTTATAAATTTTAATGTTATTTATTTAAAACCCAACAGCCCTGGTAGTAAATTCAATTTCTATAACGAAAATGTAACTAAAATACCATCGTTAGTTTATGGAATTCAACTAAAATTGACATGCAATATATTCGTACACACAAACACACTATATAAAGTAGAAAGTAGCATAGTTATCTAGTGTCAATAGTTTTACGGGCTTGGGGCCAGCCGACAACTAACCAACGGGGATTGACCCAAGATTATCAGTGTTATGATAACGAACTGTAAAATAAATTTAAGTCCATCAAATTTACAATATACGTAATTAAAATATTTAAATAAAATTTGGTTTGGTGAATTGCATTGATATTTAATATTAAATATCGCGTTAGTTTCTACAATATTTCCAATATATTCAACGTGAAACATTACCTGTCAATGTCACATACAGTATATGACAGTTAATAATTACTGTCAAATATTGTCAGGAGTCATAATCATTTATTTTTACATTATACTCGACGACCGAATGGCGTAGTGGTTTGTGTAACGGACTGCTATTCCAAAGGTCGCGGGTTCGATTCCGCTCAAGTCAAACATTTATGTGCATGAACATTTAATGTTTGATTTGGTCTGGGTGTTTCTATGTATAATAAGTATGTATTTATGTATTTACAAAAAAAAAGTATATATGTATTTATATCAGTTATCTAGTACCCATAGTACAAGCTTGCTTAGTTTGGGACTAGATGGCGTTGTGTGAATGTGGTAGAATATTATTATTATTTATTATTACTATTCTATGCATTATTTGCATAATAAAATAAATGTATAAATATCATATGTATGAATTAGAATTTAAATAATTCATACTCAAGATTTCTGGTAGCGACAAAATGAATGCTTTACGAGCTGCCATTGTCTTGGGAGAGTCATACATGTATAGGCTGGCTCGATCGAAGTCGTACCGCGGCCTCACAGGAATGTTAAGGAATTCTTTCGAGGTTTTTTAACCAGTTGTTAAAAAAACTGTGACCACTTACAGGGCAGCAAACTCACTTGTGTATTGAATTGCAATTGTCTATAGGTGACGATAGTAACTTACCATCACGGCCTCAATACTGCTATTTTATGTTAACGCCAAGCAACTGTCATTCCATTGACACACTATTGAGATGCCATTGACATCGGTCAAAATATCGGTATTCTACTAACATAAATTCAGTGTCAATAGACTGTCGATATAGTAACATAGGTCGTCAATGTTGATATCAACAAGATTGAAATATCATGAACATTAAATATATCATTTTCTTACGAATTTAAAATGTATTGGTAAACACCAATTTATTACATTTGTTTCATTGACAGTCTATTGGTCTTACATAGTTAGTAGAATAGGAAAAGTGCAAAACTATTCCGACGACATTCCATCGACAGTCTATTGATACAATATTAAAATAGCAGAATTGAGGCCCAGGTCATCAGCCTGTCGTTTGAGTACCCTATACCGTAAAAATATGCTAAGTTAGAAATAATTTTAATTACGTATATTGTGAGTATTTAGGCCCCAAAACAAACGGGTTTGAAAGGGTTTTGGTATTGTACTTGTCGAGTTTCACACTCTGATTGTTATAAGACAGACATTTTTATAAATAAATCAAAATTTTAAATATAATGTGACATACGAAATGAAATCTTGTCTTTAATATATAGAATGTTAAAAGGTAATAATGGTGA